GGAATAGCCAAGCAATGGCATACATGAACCCTAATAACAAGCTATAGATATGTATTTTCACAAGACAATGCATCAACACTCACATTTCATAGCAAAATCACATGTAGAATCCAAGAAATCATCATATAGGTAATGCCAACATAGGGTAGGCTCAACTCATAAGCCAAACGGGAACCTGAGAATTAAACCTGATCTCAACTATTAACAAAAGTACTAATTAAAACTAATTAAGGTAAAACTAATCAAAACAAAGGGTTAAGGTAAAACTAATAATTAAACAAGGCTTAACTTAACTAAACCATCCTAGGATTCAAACCCTAGCCAATTACCACGCTTACCACTACACCACTTAACCACTTGTTAACCCCTACTAAACACAACTAATTAAAACTAAACACAACAACAAAAGCAAAGCTGCTCACCAACTTCATCTTCTTCTTCACGTGCATGCCGCGGGTGGAACATGGTAGGTTCCACCACCCGTCACTCCTTCCTTGCTTGCTGCCACGCCAGAGAGAGACGCCGGAGGGAGGGAAGATCGCCGCCGCCGCGGTCCGAAGCTCCGCCGTTGCCGACGAGAAGGTCCTCACGCCGTCCACTGAACTCGCCGAAGCTACAACCGGCCGGAGCTGCCTCCGCCACTCTACTCTTGTTAGAACACAAAGGGGTCGCCGGAGACGCTACTACCACCGCTTCATCGTCGGAGTCCTTCCCGGACTGTCACCACCGTGCCTCAGCTGAAACGCCGAGTTTCCGCCCTCAACGCCGCATGCTTGGGACTGCTCCGTCGTCTACGTCGATCAGGGGAAGAAAACAGAGACCGCAGCTCGCCCATCGTCACAGCCGCACACTGCTCCGGTTGTCCTACCTTGTTGCTCTACTTGCCGACGCCGGCTGCTACAAACGAGAGAGGGGAGACGATGCAGCTGGTCTTCTTTTGAGCTTGAGGGAGAGAAAAAAGCCGAGAGAGGATAAGGGAGGTAAACAGAGAGGGGGTTTCGTTTGGTTGAAAAGGAGGGTGAAGGAGGTGGTTGTTGGTTTGGAGAGCTCATGGTGTTACTGCCATTGTAGCTAGGCCGAGAGAGGTATACGGCTGGCTTCAAGGGAACAAGATGATACAATACATACATACACATATTAGATGGTAGGGTTTCTATAATTAGAAGGTGGGCTATGCTAGATTTGGGTCAAAAGCTCGGGTTGGGTATTTCTAAATGTGGATTTTAGTCAAAACATCTTAGGCTCACAAAATAGTTATAACACATATATTTATACAACTTATGGGCTTGACTAGTTTAGGTTCAAAGCTTACATAACATATAATAAATAAATACATTTTGGGCTTAGGGTGACAAGTAAACTTCTAGGCTAAAAATCATTTTTGGCTTTAAAGCATTTGGGCACCAAAGTGCCGGTTCACAATCATAGGTAGACCCGAGCCCATTTTAAATCAAATAGCTATATAAATATTTTTATTAAAATATTTACTATCGGGACTATAATTTATTTTTAGGAAAATACGGGGTGTCACAAATGGCATACAATAACCCTAAGAACAAGCTCTAAACATGCATTACCACAAGACAATGCATCAAATCTCACATTTCAATACAAGAATCACAAGTAGAAGCCAAGAATTCATCATATAAGTAAGAAAATAGGTTTTGTAAAGCATGGGTTACCTTTGTAGCCTAAAACTTCTCTTTCTCACCCTTAGAAAGCCTCTCCTAAAGCTCTTCTTCCACACCAACTTCAGAAACAAACCAAAAGACAATAAAGATTCTATTTTTAGAAAAAGATAACTCAAAGGAGGTTAAAAACACCAAAAGATCAAGGATCTTACCCTCCCCTATGCTCAAGATTAGGAAAGTAGGAATCTTGGAAGACAACTTGCAAGATTTAGGATGCCCAAATTTTAGCTTGGAGAAGAAGCTACCAATTCTTAGAGAGAAGGTAGAGATTTTGTGTTTAGATTGTTAGTGGATGAAATGAAGAGATGTTGCTAGGTTAGCTTGAAGCACAAACTTTAGGTAGAAAGACACATTTGCCCTTACTAAAGTTGGAAGAATAAGGAGACAAGGGAACAACCCAATAAGCATAAGGTACAACTCTTTGACCTTGAATAACTAGTCAAATTCTAGTCCTTCGACTATTGAATTTTCAGGATTTTAGGAATAAATTAACAACGAAGCTAGGATTAATTCTCTAATTAATCCTTGATTAGAGTTTGGATTTACGGGGTGTCACAATAAATCTAAGACCAAAAATGGAATTAACTCTAAAATTAAAAGTGTTTAGAAAATATAGCTATTAATAAAACTAAATAAATGTCAAGGGACAAAAATAGACATATATTTGTACTTGCATGTTGCATGTAAGGAAAGTGAAGAAAAGGGAATAAAACGGAGGTTTGGGGTGTAAGTACATTTATTTTGTCTTTTCTTTTTAAGCTTGGCAAAAGAGAGAAATTATGGTTATTCTTTAGATGAGATTAGTTGAATTTTTAATGGAAAATTTTAGAGTTAATACCCAAAATCGTCCTCGACTATAGTGGTTTTTCTCAATTTCGTCCTAAACGACTTTGGTGACCTAATATCGTCCCAGACTTTTGTGTTTTGCTTAATTTAGTCCTCCATTTGTTATTCCGTCAAATTGGTGTTAAATAAAGGGACAATTCAGTAATGTCAATATTGATCTCTCTTTACTTTCAACTTGTGAAGTGCGAAATTCCTCTTTCTTGTACGAATTACACCCAAAATTACTCCCGGACCTGCAAATCAAATTTTATATTCGCAGTTTTAGGAGTAATTCTGGGAGTAATTCGTAAAAAAAAAAATGGATTTCGCAATTCACATGTCTATGAGTAAAGAGATGCCAATATTAAAATTACTGAATTGTCTATTTATTTAACACCAAATGGACAGAATAACAAATGAAGGACTAAATTGAGCAAAAACACAAAAGTCTGGGACTAAATTGAGCGAAATACAAAAGTCTGGGACGATATTAGGTCACCAAAGTCATTTAGGACGAAATTGAGAAAAACCACTATAGTCGAGGACGATTTTGAGTATTAACTCGAAAATTTTACAATACAGTAAATTACAATACTGTGAGTTTACAAGTTCTCATAACATCAAATTTAGTACTCCATATAAAATTTTTATATTTAGAAATTGCGGTAAAAGTACTACAGTAAAAATAATATAAATATTTAAATTTAAAATAATTAAAAAGTAATAAAGAAAATAAGAAAGGAGAAAGAAGAAACAATTTGTATGACTAATGAATATTAAATATTAAATATGACAGATAATATGAGACAAATGGAGTCATAATAAAATTTTATAACAGTCAATGCTCCAAAGAAGTTTCTCTTAAAATACTTCAAAGTTCAAACAGGAGGACCAAATCCAAAGTATAGACACAGGTCAAGTGGGAAATTAGAATAATGCATGGATCGATACCCCTTGGAATTGTTACGGGTGCGGGCAGTATGGATACACAATTGTTATGAAGTTGGTGGCAATTTGATGTGTGGTGCAGTATGTACAGGTACACAGTTACATTGTTACAATTGTTATACCATGGACCATAGTTCATATTGCATTACAAACCTATACAAAAGTTTTGTACCTTTCGCTAATACATTTTATACATGTAAATGATCTTGTGGTCTAATGGCACCAAGTTGTTCTTTTATATGAGAGGTTGTGGGTTCGAATTTCAGTAAAGGCGATAACTATAAATACAGAATTGAAATGTTATTTTTGAACTAGAGTTTACAATGCAAGATAAACCATGATGCATGGTATAATTTGTCCAATTTGTTAGACCTCCACCAGATAGCAACACATTTGGAAGGCTGTCATTAAGTAGACATTATTGGAAAATGCCTGAACTCAAGAAAATTTGGTAATTAAAATGTCCTCCTTGCTTCATGGCTAAAAGACTGGCGTTACGGTCATTCAACTTCCAAAGGAAGCAATTCTGAGGTAACCATTAACTTTCAGAGGAAGCAATTCCCGTATAACAATAAATAAAAGTTAGGGTCAAAATTATTACATATTGATATTTTGAGGACAGATAATCTAAGGACTTAAATTTTTTTTTATTTGTAGAGATAATGGAGAATCTTTGGATGCACAACTAAAAATGTTATTTACAAAGAAAATTTTAATAATTTGTAATATAATCTGAATGTTAATTATTTATTTAATCTTTTGTACTATTCAAAATTTCTAATTGTTTTTATTATATTATGATATATATAATTTTCTTATAATGATTACAAGTAGTAATATAATAATAATAATAATAATAATAATAATAATAATAATAACAACAACTCCAACAATAACATCATCTTTTTGTCATTTCTACGCTTTTTTTTCTTTTTCCACAATCACCGAATTACAATTTAGTAAAAAGAGAAAATTGAAATTTTATGGCACAGAACAAAGTAAGAAATTAATTCCAACTACATCCATGATCCAACCAAACACACATAAGGAGCAAGAAAGTGTTCCCAATGAATGTCTCATCCCGATTGAAACATTATGTAAAGGTGGATACTAACTTTAATTTTCTTCACCAGCCCAACTAAGAATCCTAGAACTTAAACTACATGTACTTTTTGTTACAATTTAATTAGCTATAAACTACATGCGCAGCTAAGAATCCTAGTTTTGGTACAATGTAAATTTGTGAAAATAGTTATGATATTAAAAAAAAAAAAAAAAAAAAAAAAAAAAAAAAAAAAAAAAACACAATGACCAAACTGGGCAAATATGGATTGATACGATTACTATCATATCATAAATAAATTATGAGAGTTGTTTTAATCATCAATAAAATTAAATTAAAGTCAAGTGAGTTGTGTTTTCTCCGCCTTCGAATTACATGAATCCCAAAAAAGGGGTAGATTAATAAAACAATACTAAGAAATGTAATTTCGTATAAAATAATGAAACAAGAAGAAGAAAAATTCCAAATTTGTCTTTTTCCAATAGATGGGGAGAAGGTGACAAAACTCTATATCTACCTTTCACCTTTTTTCCTATGAATTCGTAATAGTATTTTCATTATCTGCAAGGGTGTTGCTATTTGCACCCCCTTTGACCAAAATGGGGTAAAAAGTACATTGAAAATATAAAAAGTTAAAAACTTATAATAAATACATTTGTGGTGCAAATAGCCTAATGGGTGGTCAAAATGCTATTTGCACCACCTTGTCAAACTTGCAATTAATACTTTGATAATTTAAAATTTAATTAATTAATACATAAATAAATAAAGACTCACCTTCTCCGGTGAGAGGAGAAGGCAACCCAGTCAGATTTCTACCTGGGTTGCCTTCTCCTCCGGTGAGAAGGCAACCCACAGTGAGTTGCCTTCTCACCGGAGAAGGCAACCCAAGTAGAAATCTACTTGGGTCGCCTTCTCCGATGAGAAGGCGACCCACAGGGTGCCTTCTCACCGGAGAAGGTAGCCTTCCCACCGGAGAAGGTAGCCTTCCCACCGGAGAAGATGACGACACTTTCTTCTTCTTCTTCTTCTTTTTAAATTTTAATATTTTTAATTTTTAAAAAAAATGAAAAACAAATACGGAGTAATAATCTTTGACTATATTTAATGCTGGTGGTGTAAATAGCAAATTTGCATTTACACCACCTATAAAGCTATTTGACCTACTAATTAGGTGGTGCAAATTGTAAAATAGGTGGTGTAAATAGAATTTCCCATCTGCAATTATAACATGTAAATATATTAGGATCGAAAGAAAAGAATATTCAAATTCAATATTATTGATAGAACTATAATCTAAATAAAATGTGTTAGCTACTGAGCAAGCTATACATATAGCAAAGGGCAGCTATCACAAGAGAACTAGAATGGAAAAACAGTCATAGAAATCTCTAGAAAGATATTGTATGAAACAAATACTTTTCAACTTACTTTTAATTGTGCAGGTTAGGTTAGTGCCAGCACCGGTGTTGGCCACCACTGCTCAGTAATTGAATGGGCAATCCCATTACTAACTGACCACCCAACAGAATCAGTCCAATAAAAAGCACTTCCATCACGGTGGTGAAATCCTGTCTCTTTAATTTTAGGATCAAGATCAAGATCTAGGAAGTTCAAGAGACGCGGAATTTCATTAACGTAAATCTTGTGCACCAAACTCCATTTTCCCATGTTGTAGTCCTCCAGCTCCCATATATAATGTAAGGGAAATTCTTGGCGGTTACAACTCCCAATGCATGTTGCATGAAGACGATCTTGAAATATTCCAATGGTTTGGTAGTCCGCAATATTATAACAAGTTGGCGTATCAATTACACGAGAAAATTTTTTAGGACAAGTGTAAGGATCATACACAAGAATAAAATCACAGATCAGCCAATATAACATTCCTTTATAAGGGACAAGGGGCATAGAAGATAATATTCATTTATTATAGTGGGCAGGGGGTATAAAAAAAAGGACTGAAAACCTCAAGCGCCGCGGTAATGAAACCACAAGAGTTTTCCATTGACCTTTTTCAGACGAAAAGAGGTGAAGTCCGACTTGGAAATAAGAATGTGGATAAATACAAAATTGAGCCACCACAAAATTATAGCGAGGATTGTCTACACATTGGGTGCAAAGTGAACAGGGAGCAGGAAGGCGAAGAAAGCCATAGGCCGTTATAACCCACTCAATCAATTGGATTTGGAATTGGGGGCCAGGAGGAAGAGTAGCCCACTGCTTGGTTAGCTGATTACAGACATAGAACTTGGTGGTTTGGGAGATGGTGGCGGAGCATAGAATTAAATCAGCACAGGAAGCCTTCAATTCAGTTGTGCCACCTTGGGGACAGGGAAGGAAACTTAAATCCAGCCCCCGGAAGCCGCACAAATTGGCACAGGAAACGATCGACAAAGAGCGGTCAATTTGAGATTGGAATATAAAGGCAGAGGATTGAGAATGAGGATCATGAAAAATTGGCGGAAGGGATGTGTCATGGCGGCGGTGATTGAATAAAGTAATAAAATACTGAGAAGAGATAAGAGAACACCAGCTCTTGCATACCAATTTCAACCGGATAGCTGTTCTGCTGGGGAGCCTGGCAAGGATTTCAATTAACAAGTTCTCCTCCAGATTATTGATGAAGAATTTCATCAACTTGGCATTCTGGACCTGGAGGCTATCCATGCGGCTGCTGCGTTCTGTTCTGTTATGTCATACCAATTCTCCAGCCGTTATATCATAGACCACGGTCCATGTGCACCGCGATAAAAAACGGCGTCGTTTCTTTAAGTAAAGAAACAGCCCGTTCGCCGTTATAATTAACGGAGTCCGCTTGTTTGGTGTATTAAACACCAACTGACACTACAGTATATTTAAACCGACACTACAGTTATATCAAAATGATACTGTAGTTATAGTGAAATAAAACTGCAGTGTATATAAAATGAAACTGAATAACATTTCACATATTTGAGTGTATATTGTACAATGAAGCTGTAATTATATCAAAATGATCATGCAGTTGTGTTTTAATGAAATTATAGTGTATATAAAATAAAATTAAATAACATTTTCACATATTTGAGTCTATAAATATCGAATGAAACTATAGTTATATCGAAATGAAACTGCAGTTGTGTTGAACTGAAACTGCAGTGTATACAAAATGACACTGAATAACATGGTTACTTTTTGCGAAAGGGTACGAAACGGCGGAAAACAAACACCGTGGTGCATGATATAATTTGCCCCAATTCTCCTAAACCCTTGCAAACCAATATAATAGGCAATTGTTATATCGTGGACCAAGGTCAATAGTGCACTGTGGATCCTGGTCCAATACAAATAATTTGTACTTTGGACCCTGCTTCAATACATATAATTTGACTTCATAATATACAAAATTCATGTTCATAATTTATGTTCATAATACACATAAACAAGATATAATAAACATAAATTATGTACATTATGAACATGAATTCTATCTATTATAAAGTTAAATTATGTGTATTCGACTATGGTCCACAATGTAATGTGAACCCTGATCCACGATATAAATTGCCTATATAATTAAGGATATCGATTGTCTTTCTCAAATTTTTATGCACTTCACCTAGCGATCAAAACAGCAAATTATTCTGTTGGTCCGGCACTTCACCATCACGATCAATATCAACATACACAATTTACATACTAAATGTTTATAATTTATATACTAAATGTTCACAGTTTACATACTAAATATTCATAATTTATATACTAAGTAAATGTTCACAATTCAAATTATGCTCATTCTTGGTTTTTTTTTTTTTTTTTGGTAAAATCTTATCAAGCAAAATTCTCATTTATAAAATAAGTGAAATTTTAATTTAACAAATAATAATACTTAACTAATAAGTATAAAAAAACTTTTTAAAAATTAAATACTTAAACAAAGTTACGTTCAAGCTATAAAAAGGGTCAAGATGAAAAGATGAAAATATAATAAGAATAAGTAATAAAAAGTTTATTAATTATATAAAAAGTTTAATACTTTTGAAAATATATATATATATATATATATATATATATATATATATATATATATATATATATATATATATATATATATATATATATAAAATACTTTTACATTTTAATTTAAAAGCATTACATTTACATCAAAATGTAAAAGTGTTACATTTTTTTCTTCAAAAGTATTATATTTCAATATTGATCTAATCCGACCCGTCTAACAGATAAGTAAACAAGCAACACGAACTAGTTTCAAGGAAAACATTTAGGGGGATGTATTCAATCAAGACTTTTAAAGAGTTTCAAAGACTTTTAAGTGATGGATTTTAAATGACTTTTGTAGAGATTTTGTAGACTTTCATAGAATCTTTTAAACTTTCATCAACTTTGTAAGACTCTTTAAAAATCCATAGGACAAACATTTATAGACTTTTAACAACTTTTTCATATTTAAAAAATCTACAAACGTCATTAAAACTCTAATTTTTATTAATACATTATTTATAATTTTCTTACAAAACTATATTTTTATAAACCATAAATAAACTAATGTATTGCAAAAAAAGAATAGAAAAATATTGATTGTCACAAAAATAGAATATATTATACATAAAGAAAATATAATCAATTTTCACTAAATATAACCAATATAAATATTTCTTAAACTAATGAAACAACTAATGTTGAGTAATATAATTATCAAAATCTCTAAAATGAAAAATTAAAATTAAAATATTCATCTTGTTAGTACAATTATCTTTGATTGGAATTGATTTCACCTTGTTGGGTATCTCTCCACATATCCAAAACCAGTGGCGGAGGCATGTGTATTATGTGGGGGGCCTTGGCCCCCCTCCCCCAATTTTTTTTTTTAATATTATGTGTTAATTTTTTTAAAAAAATTATTATATAGAATTTTAAAATTTTGTTGTTTCTTCAAAATATTTGGCCCCCCTCACTTAAATTAATCTTACATGTTAAGTTATAAACTTCTTATCTTCTCAATTTCTCCAGTTTTCTCTCATTTCAAATTATGTCTTTCCTATATTGTTGACTCATATCCAAATTAAACCTCATTAGCCTACCTACTAGTTTCTCTCTCAAAAAATAACCATACATATATGCGGCATATACAATATAACAAGATAATTTGTCATTAATAAAATCTTTCCATATTTTTCAAGTTAATTTTTATTTTTGTTTTTGTTTTGTTTTTGTTTTTTTTTTTATTTTTTTTTTGTTTTTTTTGTTTTCTTTTGTTTTTTTTTTTGTTTTTTTTTTTGTTTTTTTTTTTTTTGGTTTCTAACTACTTGTTTGGTTAGTTTTTGTTTTATATTCTATTGTTTATCTTAAATAGTTGTTTTGTTTGATTCTAAATAATGGACATCAATGTGCATTTGTTTGGTTAATTATGTAGATTTGTAGTTATGTGATAGATTTTGTATTTAATTTAAAATGCATAATAATGTAACAATTGTGTAGTATATGTATAATGTATTTGAGAAAACAGTTACTATTATGTTATGTTGTGAAGAGGGGTTTTCAAGAAATAATCAATAATCTTTTAAAACATGCATGCATGTTTTAATTCTTTCAACCGTACAAAGCAATGTGCATCGAAAAGTATATTGCAAAATAATTTAATATAGATTCAATTATAAATGATTTATTTTAAACTTTATTAAATTTGTAATGTAATAATTATTTTGAAATATGTTAACGGGATGGACATCAATATATTTGATTTAGTACCTGGACCGTAATTGCCCCCCGCACTATTAAGTTCTGGCTCCGCCCCTGTCCAAAACTATTTTAGCCCTACATTCATTTGCATGATCTCGTTGTTGCTCTTGAGTTTCAAATAGTTGTTCTAAATTATCTACATCATTCGTCGGTAAAGGTCAAAGAGATTCATCATTATTTAGGTCAACAAGAAGCTCAGAAAAATTGTTAAAACGGTTCTTGAACCATTTCAATCTGCTTTGGTATTGTGCATATGATCTTTGACACCTAAGCTTTTCATTAAAAACCGTAAGTATCCTCTTCTCCACAGTTAACTTGCTTAAACTCCCACTACTATCACGCCATCCATTTTTTATCGCATCAACCATAAGTTGTAACAACTCATTACTCTCCTCAGGTGCCCACAATGCATAATTTCCATTAAATTTATTTTTACCTTTACTCTTTTCTTGATCCCCCATTACTATAAAATAAATAAGAATCTCTCAAAAAATTCAACTTAACACAAACACATATATTAATATAATTAATGAACAATAATAACATAAAATTATGTTAATTATATAAAAACAAATTTGTCAAAATTTGAGTATATTAATTCTACTGATTACAACAAATTTATAAAAGATTTTTGCTGCGAACAGCAGCATGTTCGCAGCAGATTTTTGCCGCGGGCTGTTCGCAACAGCAAGAAAAGCAAAACAAAATTATATAAATAAATAAAAAATTATAAAGTATAGTATTATGAAAAGTTTAAAAGGCACCGTAAAATTTGGTAAAAATTGATGAAGAATTTGTCTGGTTTAGATAGAGAAAAAAGTCTGTAGAGAAAATTGAAAAGTTTGGAGTTGGAGGGTCGGATTTCATCTATTTATATTATTGAAGAAAAAGTCTATAGAAATCCTATTCTAATAGAGTCTATGAAAGTTGATAAATATTTGAATACCAGTAGACTTTTAATTTTTAATGCATTATGTAAAATTTTGTTCCTCCATGCAATAATATATTGACTCTACCGGAGTTCAATCATTTTTGTACTACCAAACTTTGTAGTAACAAATTCCTCATTTCTTTTCAATGTGCATAAATGCTTTGCACTTTTATTGTATGTGTGGGTAATCCACAACGCATACATTTTTCTCATTTTTCCT